TATATATATACCTTCCAGACTCACACAAACTTACACACTTATACAACTTACAAAGCAGACCAAACACATTTTGTTTTTATTTCGACCGTCGGTTTGTTTGAACCTTATTCTTTTGTCGCCTACCTATAGCTTATCTCTGTATATTCTTCTACCCTTCTATCGCTCCTACTTACAAACAGTTTTAGTATCGAAATAATTTGTGTCTACGCTTAGTAGTATGCAGTAGCAAACAAACACACACATATACAACGCTTAGTAGCTAGGAGTGGGGACTACGAAGCAGTGCACAAGGAAGGGACCGAGAATAGAACAGATGACACGTGTTAGAAGTGAAACCTTCAAAAAACTAAGTTTCTAGAGAATGGGACGAATGCAGAGTATCAGGAGTAGAATAATTGTAGGATAATAATATTGTTAGTTTGCATAAATGGAATTCGCGGAGAGACAAGTCTTTTGGAAATTAATGAAATGGTGGCAAAGACGCAGGTATATTCGGATATTTGAAATCGTTATATCTGGACATTGTTGGAATTCTTCTCGATTGATAAGTAAAACTTGTTGCACAGTAAAATCTCATTAATTGTATTAAAATTATAAATTATTACACGTAAGACTTTTTTCATGTTTGCTTGTAGTGGTTTTAAATCATTGTGGAACCATAATCGATCGCAAACTGAGCATGCATTACCGAATATATTGTTTAAAATTTTTTGCGAAAATCATCATGGGCAACTCTATTTATTAGAAATTGTGAGTACGGAATATGAGGATTTCTATCAACTTGAGAAACAACTACAAAAAAATATTCATAATATTAACTGAAGAATCATTTAAATAGAGAATAACAATAAATGTTTTAAACAAGACATATAGTGATTAAGTATGTGATCTATGAGCAATAAAAATTATAAAAGAAATATATTCATTAGAAAATATTTAAGTACTTACGATGATCGCTTTCACTATTTCGAAAAGTGCTCGCATTATTACCCGTATTAAAAACATTATTCTGCACATTCAATAACGCCTTTTGAAATGAAATGCATAAACGCGTTCTGTTGAACTGTTTGGAATACTCCTAATCGTTTTTTTCTGCCTATTTTCAAACTTTTTGGCTCTAGTTTAAGGAATGCTTTGTATTGTTGAGTAAATATATCAAAAATAAAGTCTTGTCGCGTTAGCGATAAGTTATGATGGGGAAAATGTGATAAAATGAAAGACGAAATAAAACATGTGATCAAGTCTAATTAGTGGTATAATAAAACATTAATTGTCTGTCAAAAAAAAGCTTCGCTTAATAACAAACCCTAGTTGAATATCAGAAAATATAATGTCGTCCAAGCAAAAATTGGACAATTAATTGACCTAACTTTCTTTGACTTTGCCTGTATGCAAATGCAACGACGAATTCTTGTTTATGATAAATGTAAATGATAATGGTACTTAGCCTTTTTTGTGAGATTTCGTCAACTCTTCATCGCTTTCTTGTGGGTTTTATATTTTTTAATGGACAGAGTAAGGTGTCCTTGGGAACGATTTGAAATGTAGGGAGGAACGAAAGCAACATGCTTATATTATTTAAGAAAACTGTAAGTATACGTAAATATTATCGCATCGATAATAAAGATTTAAATATAGATAGATCTGAATTTACCCATATAACGTTTGTTTTTTTTTTTCACTTCTTACTTACTGTCGTTACTGTTCATTAAATCGCCGCGTTACATCGCAAACTTCACGCGCGTTATAGTCCGGGAGCTAGCAGCGTCGGGAAAATAATAATGGGGGATGAGCTGATTTTTTGATATGTCGTTCTTCTTGATCTTTCGGTTAGAACCTGCACTACTTGGCTGGCCGTAGGTCTTGCGTTTACTAGTGCGCGTCCTACCTGTACAGGTAATAATCCTAGATTTTAAAAGAATGTTGAGAAGCCTAATTTTCTATTTATTGACTTTAGATAGATNTTTAGATAGATTTATCAAACATAAATTTTGTATTGCCATGCACTTTTCTCATTGCTAAATATCTGCCATATGCGATTTTTTTTTTTTTTAAATAAAAAATTAAAAGTATCTTGGTATTCATGTAATTTTAATATTATGTTATTTAAGTATACAGAAACCTAAAATTAATTTGCCAGGTTTTACCAACCATTAAAGGTTTAGTTAAGTAAACGCAAGACCTATGGCCAGCCAAGTAGTGCAGGTTCTAACCGAAAGATCAAGAAGAACGACATATCAAAAAATCAGCTCACCCACAACTCTCTCTTGAAAACGTTGCTAGCTCCCGGACTATTACATCGCCAACTTCACTCGTTATATTTTTTCAAATCACACCCATTCTAAAGAAGTTTTCACTTTAAAAAGAGCTTGGCAGGGAACGTCTTAAGCAATATGTTGGACGTATTTATACGTCCCGCCCGGATAACAGGTTAAATCTATTAAATATGAAGAATATTGGTCATATTGATGCATCGAATATATGATTATTTGTCAGATGATGCCAGAGTTCCAGCGCGTTTGGGAAAGATGTTACAGCTAGATAAATTTGATAACCTTGGTTTTGGAATTCATTCAAGAATGTCACATTTTATTGACCCGGTAGCAAGAATGGCAACGGAAGTAGCGTTCGAAGCGGTCACTGACGCTGGAATAAATCCCGTCGAGTTACGGAACACGAAAACAAATGTCTACGGAGCAGTGACTTTATGCGAGTCAGATAAAGTTTTGTTCTACGAAAAAATAGAGGTAATTAAAAGGTGATCAAATAAATAATTCGTTATAATTTTCATATTTGTCATTATTATAATAGCAAAGTGGACAGAATCTTACTGGATGCTGCCGCGCTTTGTTATCAAACCGAATTTCCTATTGTTTGGATTTAATTGGCTCAAGCTATACTGCGGATTCGGATAGTTCATCTTCTGCAGTGGCTATACAAAAAGCATACGAAGATTTGAAGAGTAACAGTTGTGATTACGCGATCATTGCTACTGGAATCACTACATTGCATCCACAAACATCATACCACCTTTCAAACTTAGGTAAAATCAAAGTATACAATTGTCATTTGATAATGTTGATCTTTTTGTTAAAAGAAATAAAAGAAAGACAATTTTATAGGCTTGTTGTCACCCGACGGAGTGAATAGATCTTTTGACGAGAAAGCTACTGGATCCACAAGAAGCGAGTCGATAGGAGCGATTTTTCTTCAAAAAGCTAAACACGCAAAGCGGATTTACGCCGAGGTTGTTAATGCCTTTACATTCTATGGTGATAGTATGTCAAGAGACACATGCCTATTTCCCATAGGAGAATTCCAAGCTGAAATAATGAAGCAAACTTTAACGCATTCCGGCTTGAAACCGGCCGATATAAATTATATCGAAGCCGATGGAACAGCGGTCAAATCAATGGATCTCGAAGAACTAAAAGCGATAAATTTAATTTATGGGAAAGATCGGAATCCATCAAATCCACTCTTAATAGGATCGATCAAATCAAACGTTGGTAATACACTAAGCGCGAATTTAGTAAATTCTGTCATAAAGGTAAATTATTCTTGACTCAAGTGTAATTGATGTTTAAGTTGTAGGTACTACTACTACTGTTATTACATAGTATCAATTTGTAGGTACTAATTGCTATGGAGAAGGAAGTTATACCTCCGAATCTTCATTACAATGAACCACCGAAAGATGTGAAATGCCTTCAAGATGGACGAGTAAAAGTTGTTACAAAACCAACACCTTGGGTGGATGGCGATTATGCTGCATTGAACACATCTTCTTTAAATGGTGTTTTCTCTCACATTATTCTAAAGCGTAATTCCAAAGGAAAAAAGAAGAGAGACCTTAGATCAAATAATATGCCTAGACTTTTTGTAATTTCTTGTAGAAATCAAGAAATGATATCATCAATCTTTAACGTTGTAAGTATTTTTCAGATTTACGATCAATTACTGACCAGATAATATTTATATCGCATGTATGCTTTTAGTTGCAGCAAAATAAAGGGGATGACGAACTTTCTCAATTAATCTATGAAATTACCGAGAAACCATTTGTGCATTCTGTGTATTCTGGATATATAATAATTCCAGAATCGGAAGAAGCCAATTCAGAACAATCGATTGAGTTGATTCCAAATAATTCCCGACCGATCTGGTTCGTCTTTTCAGGCATGGGATCTCAATGGACTGGAATGGGTAATTTAATAGAAATATACGGAAATAAGGTGTTGGATTGTGTATAAAAAAAAATTGTTGCGATTATAGGTGAATCGTTGATGAAGATACCAGTATTTGCCGAAGCAATCAAAAAATGTGATGCAGTTTTAAAACCTCGAGGTTACGATATTGTGCATATTATTTGTGACAAAGATCCAAAAATATACGACAATATGATCAATTGTTTTTTGGGAATTGCAGCTATACAAGTAATTGTATTTGTATTSATATTATCTCTTATATTTTGTTTATTGTTTAGGCTTATTTTTTATAATTATTATGTAGATTGGTTTGGTTGATATTTTATACGCCGTTGGTGTGCAACCAAATTATATGATTGGACATTCCGTCGGTGAGCTGGGTTGTTCTTACGCGGATGGTTGTTTTACAGCAGAGGAAATGATTTTATGTGCTCTCTCTCGAGGTTTAGCTTCTGTAGAAAGTGAACTAATACATGGAACGATGGCTGCAATCGGTCTTGGTTATCGACAAGTTAGACATCTTTGTCCCGAAGACATTGACGTTGCTTGTCATAATGGTCCAGGAAGTTCTACCATAAGTGGACCTACCGAATCCGTAAATGCTTTTGTCAAACAATTAAAGGTAATGTTTAATTATTAAATGAAATCTAATAGATAATATGAATAATATAAGCTTTGAAGAGAGAGAGAGAGAGAGAGAGAGAGTATCATTAACAATTGTTATTTTTAGAGTAATGGTACATTTGCTAAAACCGTTCCAACAAATAATATTGCTTACCATAGTCGTTACATTGCCCCAGCTGGTCCAAAATTATTGGAATACTTAAAGAAAGTTATACTTCAACCAAAAAAACGCAGTAAACGTTGGATAAGCACGTCTGTTCCAGAAAAAGAATGGGATTTAATGGAAGCTCGTTTTTCCTCGGCGGAATATCACACGAATAATCTCCTTAATTCTGTTTTATTCGAAGAAATATTAAGAATGATACCAAATAATGCTGTAACCATTGAAATTTCTCCCCACGGATTATTACAGGCAATTCTGAAAACATCATTGCACAGCGATATCATTAATTTAGCATTAACAAAACGGAACAAGGATAATACAATGTTAGTTTTATCCGCGTTAGGAAAACTTTATAATTTAGGGTATCCCATAGCGCCAGGAAAGCTTTATCCAAAAATTTCATATCCCGTTTCTAGAGGAACCCCATTAATTTCTTCTCATATCAAATGGGAACATAGTGCTGATTGGTTAGTATATATGTTTTTGTTAATATTAAATACTTACTTCAGTTCCTATTAAATATTAGGTCTACCGTAAAATTCTGTCCGTTCGAAACAAACATTAGTTCAATTTTTCGCCACAAGGGGTAAGGTTCCATTTCTTAAAATGAAATATACAAATTGCCACCATGTTAACAAGAGTTCAAAAGTAATTGAATTAATCGATTTTTTAAATTATGAATAATGAATTATTTTATTTTATTTTAAAAATAGACAGAGTTTTTCACGGCAGACCTAATACTTCTAAACACATYTTACAAATAAATATATTTTTCTACTTATTTGATAGGTACGTTTCCTATTCTACAAATCGTATGAAGCAACAAATTGGAGAACGTTCCTTTACCTTGAATTTGAAATCAAACCAATACAAGTTTTTACAAGATTTTCAAATAACCGACAATGTTATCATTCCCCCAGCTGTCTATTTGAAGCTACTTACGGATATGTACTCAACATTAATACTAAATAATACTGACAAATCTTTAACGCTCCAGAATATTGTTATTCGCAATACATTACTAAAAGTACCTAGAAACGGCAAAATAAGTTTTAGGATTATGATTTTTCAAGGTTAAAATTGCAATTTATTTATAAGTGATATCTTTAAAAATTATTTTCAAAGATAAAAATTATTCAAAATAATATACGTTCTCTAGGTTCGGGAACATTTGAAATAAGCAGCAATGAAGAATTTATAGCTTCTGGAATAATAGGCTTAACACAAACTGAGAGAAAAGATATTTCTGATATCATTTTACAAAAAGAAGAGAAAGAAATTTTATCCAAAGAATATATTTACTCGAATCTTCTTTTACGTGGTTACAAGTATGGAGAATCTTACAATATTATTAGAGGACTTTCTAGATCATGTTCTAATGGTACACTCGAATGTAACAATGATTGGAGATTATTATTAGAAGGATTAATTCAAGTGTATATCATCAACAGTGGGAATAATAAAAATATTTTGATTCCGACTAAGATAGAAAAACTCATTATCGACGTGGAACAATTAAAGGAACAAATACAAAATAACAACGGTAAAGTTGTCCTTCCAAGTTTATTATTAAATTATGCTTAATTGTCTAAATATTCAAGATTTTTCTTTTTTTTTTAGTATTACCGGTGAAATTTGAAAAAATAATAAACACGATAGCTTGTCCAGGAATAACTATGACTGGGATCAATTTCAAAGAAGTAGTAGTCGACTACAAGGCTTCGGAAATAGTCGTGGATGAACTTAAATTTATTCAGAATATAAAGAAAACGGATATTGACGACGTAATTTTAAAAGAAGGAGAAAAATTAAAAAGAACAGTTGTCGTTAAAAACCAACAAAATTGTATCGATCAGCTAAAGATCTGTTTACGAGATTCTAAATATGATAATGTGATATTTTTGATTAACACTATTACCCAAAATGATGTATTTGAGATACTTGAAGCTATAAAACGAGAGCCAGGGTATAAGAAACTTCAAATTTTYGACCTACAAGACTCAACAGCACCAAAATTCTCGCTTCAAAATGAATTCTATAAATCGCAAATAAAATTAAATCTTCGTGAAAACGTGTTGTTGCCCAACGGCGTATGGGGCACGTACAGATGGACCCCATTGTCAATGAAATCGTCTACTTACTCTTCGCGTTGGCAAGCAAAAATGGATTTATCAGGTTCATTAGAATGGATGGAAGAGTTACCATTGATTAAAGGAAAAAATGAGAATGTCGTTAAAGTAAAGTATGCTTCATTCGACCTAAATATTTACAAGCACTGCTTAAAAAATAACCTCAGTTTAGAATCACAGATAGCTGTGACAGAATATTCAGGAATAGACGAACAAGGTCGTAGAGTAATGGGACTAGTTGATGGTTTCACCATAAGTAATGAAATTTTATCTCATCCAGATTTAACTTGGATTATTCCAGACACTTTGAGCTTCGAAGAAGCTGCAACAATTCCCCAA